CAGAAGATCATCAGACGCCATTTCCGCCACCTCCAGCGAGATGCCACCACCAGACACATATTCCCCTCCCCTCCCTTGTCCGCCTTCCACAGGGACCGTTCCCTCCAGGACACCCTGGTCCACAGTTCCTTCATCCCCAACACCTCCCCACAGCCCTACGGCACCTTCCCCTGTAACCGGCGAAGGTGCAACACCTGCCCATTTACCTCCTCCCTCCCCACTATCCAAGGGCCCAGACATATCTTCCAGGTGAAGCAACACTTCACGTGCACTTCCCAGAATCTAGTCTACTGCATTCGCTGCTCACAGTGTGGTCCTCTACATTGGGGAAACGGAGCGTAGACTTGGTGACCGCTTCGCAGAACATCTACGTTCTGCTCACAAAAAAGACCCTGAACTACCTGTTGCCTACCACTTTAATGCACCACCCTGCTCCCTGGCCAACATCTCTGTCTCTGGCTTGCTGCAGTGTTCCAGCGAAGTCCAACACAAGCTGAAAGAACAACATCTCATTTTCCGCTTGGGGACCCTACAGCCCTCCAGACTCAATATTGAGTTCAATAATTTTAGGGCCTAAACTCTCCCATGTCCCAGCCCCCTGTCCCACACACCAGGCCTTGTTATCACATAAAAACCGCAAGAACTGTGGATGCTGTAAATCAGGAACTAAAACAAAGTTGCTGAAGAAGCTCAGCAGGTCTGGCAGCATCTGTGAAGGAAAAAACAGAGTTAACGTTTCGGGTCCAGTGACCCTTCTTGTTTCTTGTTACCACATAGCCTGCCATTACACACCCCCTGTTGTTAGTCAATAACAGTCCCCATTAACAACTACTCACCCTCCCAGCCTGATCGTTAGCAACTCCTTTGTCTGTCCAACTGTCTTTCTCTCTCTTTGGGCTCTATTCTATCGTTTCCTCCCTACGCCACCCAACTTCCTATTTCCTGCATATAAACTGATGCTTTCCCAGCCACCATCAGTTCTGAGGAGGGGTCACTGGACCCGAAACGTTAACTCTGTTTCCTCCTTCACAGATGCTGCCAGACCTGCTGAGCTTTTCCAGCAACTTTGTGTTTGTGTTAATTCTAAAATATATGGGTCAGGATTTTACCATTTGAGTTGGGAGTCTGGTGTTGGGTTTAAAAACAGCCCTCAGGTAATTGGGCTTCACTGCTTTTCAATGAGTTAAACTAGCTACCCAAAATGTATTGCTGATCCCAGTCCAGCCTCTCGCAAAATGATTCAGGGACTGAATTGTGTCAGATAACTGGAGTGCTCGCCCAGAATTACACACCCACCTTTGGCCCTGCTTCCACTTTGGAGCGAACATCCTGTCTATGAAATCTGCTGAACAGTCTTGGTTCAATATAGCCAGATTTCTTTCCATCAAACTTGTGATCACTAGCTACAGAATGTTGCTGAGTATTCACTATAACCATAGAATTTAAATCTCTGGTTTGGAAATTTTAACATGTAATTGGGTTTTCTGAAATCCCATGGGACATAACAAGGAGTATGCAAGGTGGTTACCTAAATTTACTCCAACATTTCATAATAATCATTTCAAACATTTCAGCATTTAAGCCTTAAAGACTGGCATTCCCTCTTTGCTCCTGTACACCTCTCTCTCCTGTTTTAAGGCCTTCCTTAAAATCCACTTCTCTGACTAAAACTTGGTCAATTTTCCCCCTGTCTCTTACCTTGGTCAGGTCACTACTTTTTTTTTTGGATTTGCACTTCTCTGGGCACCTTGGGACATTTTCCTATGAGGTACTTGCCCTATACTATTGAGCATGGAAACAGACCCTTCAGTCCAACTTGTTCATGTCAACCAGGTTTCCTAAACTGATATGTTGCAGGATTGTAGGAAATGTTGTGCGGAAATGAAGTACTGGCCTTATTTGAAAAAACTGTGTGCGGCTGAGGGACCTGTCATTTATAATAAGACCGTGTGGAGCTTAGATATTGTTTTTCATTGAAAGGACTTCCATGGCTTCAATTTAGAACTTCTAGAACTTTCCTGCACTTTCCTAAGAATTTCTGAGGATTGCAAGTTAAATTTAAAGCAAAATAAAGTAAGAGGAGGGAACTGAAGCGAGAGGAGATCGAGGCTACTAAACACACAGTAGACCTGTGGCCAGGATACAGCTCATTGTTGGGAATGCACTATCAATGCACACATCCTGTCGAATACAAGGGCAGCTTGGAAAATGGTGTAAAGATGGGGCTAATAATGAGAAAGTAAAGCAGCAGAAGAGGTGTGGGGAAGGCAAATTCAAGGGCAGTCTATGCAGGAAACAAAGGTGAAGGAATGTAAAACAATAGAACTGTTGATGTTGGACTGTGTGTAAGGTTTGTTTTAACAAGCCAGTCATACGACAGAGACATTGCACTGGACTGAATGAGGGATTCACCACATTTTTAAAAGTTTGTGTCTTTGACATGATGTGACACAATGTGGTGCATCATCTACTCAGGTATGAATCAGTTCTTCATCCAAACTGGAGAAACACTCAACACAGAGTACCACAGCCTTACCATAAAAGAAGGAAGAAGAGGCAAATACAAGAACAGAGCCAATGCATTCATAAAATGACTTAGGACAAGTATCTAATGCCCTACACAGTCTTGTAAGTAAAGGACACAATCAGACCTGTAATGACAGGCTCTTAAGAAAAGAATAATTGAGTCTGTGATTTGGCGCGTCTATTGTATGGGCTGAAATGTGGACCTTGAGAAAGTCACACATCCAAAGACTAGAAAAGTTGTCAAAAGTGGTTCTGGGGAAGGGTGGAATGGGTCAGTTGGAGAAGACACAAGGGAAAGCAGCAGAGAAGAGTTTCTTAAACTATCATCAATAAAAGGTATCAAGGTCACAATCCGAGTATGGAAACATGCAGAATGAGGTGATTGAAGGAAAAAAGTGGAAAGAGAATGATGATGTTTGTAAACCTGAAATTTATAATGGAAGGGTCCTACAAGCAACTGAAGGGGAAAGTGGAAGGCTGTGAAGTGTGGAGAAATAAGCAGAGGATTTACCCTTACGCAGATCACTGCTATTACAAACCTGCAGTTTCTAACAGTCCTGTAACAGAGGATAAATACCTGCTGCCCCACTCATTCATACAATCCCTACAGTGTGGAAACAGGCCATTCAGCCCAACAAGTCCACACCAACTCTCAGAGCATCCCACCCAGACCCACCCCCCTACACCTGCATTTCCCATATCTAACCTACCTAACTCTGGACACTGTGGGCAATGTAGCATGGCCAATCCACCTACCCTGCACTGGACTGTGGGAGGAAACTGGACCACTCAGAGGAAACCCACGCAGACACAGGGAGAATGTGCAAACTCCACACAGTCACCCAAGGATAGAACTGAACCCAGGTCCCTGGTGCTGTGAGGCAGCAGTGCTAACCATTGAGGATCAGTACCTGATGCCACATGCTGTTCTGTAACATATGAAAAGTAAGCATTACTTCCTCAGTCTTGAAATATAGAACAAATACCCATGACTTGCTCAGTCCTATAATATAGGACAAATATCTATAGCTCCCTCAGTCCTCTAATATAGGACAAATACCTATAACTTGCTCAGTCCTGTAATATGGAGGAAAGTGCTGACATCTTCCAACTCTTGTAATGTAGGACAAATACCAACAGCCAAGCTTAATCTAAAAGCTCAGAGGTTAGGAATTTTTGGAGGTGTAGGGGTCTGCACCACAGTGGAGAGTTAACAGGGACCATACCCCTGTGATGACAGCATCCATGCAGCCAGGCTGCAGGTGTTGTGATTGGAGATGTACAGGGAAGGTTTTTACAGAGGCTGGTAGGTGGCTGGAATGCACTGCCAGGGGAGATGGTAGAAGCAGATATGATAGCAAAGGCATTTAGACCAGGCAGGAGGCAGAGGGATATGAGCAGGCAGGAGGTAAGGGGATATGAACCACATGCAGGCAGATGGGATTAGTTTAGATTGGCATCATGTTTGCCACAGACATGGTGGGCCGAAAGGCCTGTTCTATGTTCTAGGATTAACAGACAGCTCCACAATCCCAGCAACAGCAGTGATCGCAATGGCCAGCAAAGAATCTGTAATCAGCTCCATAAATGCAAAATCTTGGAGACCAGGACTAGATGTGTCTCAGCAAAGAATGGGTTTGAGGTCCAGAGATAGGGCTCTTCATGTAGATGCTGGGGGCAGAGGTGGTAGTGGTGGGAACACCCCCACAGGGGTCAAACCCTGAGTTTGGGGGATGACCTGCTGAACTTCAACCCTACCCCCACCACTCAATTCTTTCCTCTAGCTTCAAAATTGAGTCTAAGGACAGTGGTCTGTCAGAGGCAAAGGCAGATGAGCGGCTCCAGGTTTTCCCCACACCCACCCCTAAATCTGCAAATGTACGGGCAGGTCACAGCTGTGTGTGCGGGAGGGTGGGGGTATGGCAGAAGGGAGGACGACCCGGGTAATTTTAAGAATCCCTGCCCGCAAACCCAGCAGTGGAGGATTGTAAAATTCTGTCCACTATGTACAGGAATTCTCAATTCCCTCCGATTTCCATTAGACAATGGATGGGGCCTGCTCCAATCGAGACTGTAAACACAGTTCTTCAGGCAACAATTTTACAGAGAATCCTTTAAAATTTCAATTGTGAACATCCGTTTAGTGCTCTACATGCCTACAGCTCTGCAATAAGCCACATTTCAGTGTCATTCTGCAAAGTTCCGGTAAACAACAGCGTTATTAAGTTTCTGTTACTGATAATGTTTGGTTGAGCTACATTGAATTGATGACGCACACTTCATCCAGGATTATTTGGCAGCAGCTGAGCGAAAGAATATTTTCAATGACAGATAATTCCAAACATTAATTCATTCACATGACGCGTTGTCACAGACACTAACCGTGAGCTTAACTGTTTATAATTCAAGGGTTCGGAAGGCAAACTAGGAACACAATCAAATGTCCACTTCTTTTCTCTCCTCTCGATACTTACAACTGGTCCGGGAACTAGACTTGTCTTTCCAGACATCATTGAGATGCATGTACTCATCAATGGCGAGGGCCAGCCTTTGCTCCTTAACTTGGTAGAGTTCCTTCTGAGTGCTGAGCGCATCCTGTGCCACCATTAGGTAATCCTTCAGCATTCGCTCCTGCTCTTTCCTCCATTGTGCCCGTGGGTCCTCCAACTGGGTGGTTTCTGAATGGGTAAGAGCGATAGATTTTTCATTAGTTCAAGACGGAACAGGCTTGAGGGGCTGAACGGTCAACGCCAGTCCCCGTTACTTTAACTCATAAACATTTGAATTGCTCACGTCCCTGCATTCAGGACCTTTCAGCTGCTGTCATGATTATCTAACATCCCTTCTTAGAAGCACAGCATTAGTGTTCAATACGCTGAAAAAAAAACCTCACTTTCACATGGTAGCCACCAAAGAAAAACTGCAAATCACTTCACAGGAAGGAGGCAATGATACTGAAGAGGGCACCAAACAAAACATGGGATTCATCCTGTCTTTAACCTACTGCTTTGAAGGGCAACTCATTGTAACATACAGAAATCCTGTTTAAGTGTCCAATGATTCAGATATTATTCCCTGCCAATAGTGGTGGGCACTCATAACTGTGTCCAATGATCATCAATGTTACTCAGAAACAGGGCATCAAGAAAGGCAAATACTTAGTCTGGAGTGTTCCCTCATTCCTCTTCTCCCTATCTCTTCACAATGGCCCAACTGAGATTAGATACCCTCTTAGGGTTTTAACATTTGGCAACAATTTAAACAGGTGAAGTTGGATCAGCCAATCATTTGCATGCCCCACCTTCATCAATGCAAAAGAAAATCACGCCAGTTGAGGCCCCCATATCCAAAAATCCATTTTGCATTATTGTCAAAGCTTAAAATTATCCAGACTGACTCACAATGATAATGAGTACTATGCATGTTCCTCATTACAGCACCATCACCAATACCTGCTGATCATCTATATTTAGAAAAAGCAAATTTCTTTTTGACTCATCAGGCAATGCTACTGATATTTTCTATACGCTATAATCCTTCTCTATAAATATTAAATAACTTCCTTTAGAGCTGACAACTAACCTTGAATGAACTATCCATGTGGGTGTTTGAAACTCATTGGTCTAACATCTTTAAAATTGCTCACTTTAAATCTGTACATTTTTTTGTATGGCTTGGGAATAAGTTAGCAGACCATATAAATCCAATAGTGAATTCAGGGAAAACCTCTTCCAGAGAATGAATGAATAAATGAATGAGTGATTTTATTCTCATATGTACTTTGCAGTAAGTAAAATACAGTGAAAAGCTTATCCACTGTCGCCACAATTCAGTGCCATTTTGAATAGTTTTAAGAATAAGAAGAAAAAATTGAAAGATATAGCTTAAAGAGAGTCCAACAATCCTGCGCCAGCTCATCATCAATGATGCTTGAGAATGGTCAGATCCTGTACTTGCTACTGCTTGGAGTAATTGAGCCAAGACAAATACATGGAGGAGAGACTGACAGAAGAATACGCTGATAGGATTAAATGAAGGGGGCTGTTTGGAAGCACATATAGCTGTTTAAATATTGGTACAGAAAAGTTCAATTGAATAGCCTGTTTCTGTGCTGTAATTGTAAAGGCCTTTTGAGGCTTAACTATAAAACAAACAACAATGTATAATTGATATTACACATACACAATGGATTCTTTTACTTGGCTCTTTTTCATGCAAATGTTCACCCCTCTCTCAAAGGCATTGACTCCTTATTGGGGTACAATTCCACAGCCAAAGTCCATCTTCTAACTCATCACCATAGGTATAATTTGTTGCATGTAAATCTTTCTCTGCAGTTGTCACAGAGCTCATCCCTGTCTTATCCTGTTTCGAAGTGCACATAGACCTTCATCAGGGGTTACCACAGTAACCAGAAACAGAAAGTCTAACTAATATTCCCCACTCTAGAGTAGGTGGAGTAACTAGTTTACCGGATACACCATTAGGAGAACTAGAAGGCTTTAATTCGAGCCACAGAGCACAGAGACGAACATGGCTTGAATGCAATGTGGTTGAGTTGAGCCAGGTTTTTGATCAAAATGGGAACTGTAGTTATGGGGTTCAGGTAAAAGACGGAATTACAGCCACAATCAAACCAGCCATGATCTTACTGAATCGCAGAATGGAACGGTTGCTCAGAGGTTAGCACTGCTGTTTCACAGCACTAGGAATTCAATTCCACCTTTGGGTGACTGTCTGTGTGGAGTTTGCATGTACTCCCTTTGTCTGCACAGGGTTCCTCTGGGTGCTCCAGTTTCCTTTCCCAGGCACAAAGATGTGCAGGCTAGGTGGATTGGCCATGCTAAATTGCCCATAGCATCCAAGGACGTGTAGGTTAAGTGGATTAGCTGTGAGAAATACTGGGATGGGGTAGGTGGGTGAGTCTTGGCGGGATGATTTACAGAGGGTTGGCGCAGCCTTGATGGGCCAAATGGCCTGATTCTACACTGTTGGGATTGTATGATGATTCAGAGTGAGCTGAATGGCCTACTGCTCTTACTTATGATCTTTTTAAGGACTTATACTAGTTGTGGTTGACAGTCACAAATTGGTATTCATTAGGTTAGACAAATCTGTGTTAAGTATGTGCATTCCACAGATTTAACAGCAGTTCGCAATGTCTATGATCAAAATAAATTAGAGCAAACCTAATGTTAAGAAGCTAATGCACCACATAAGCCATTGAACAGTATGTCAAAGGTTTTAACTTATCAAGGCTGCTTTTAAAATAAAGAACTTGATAGGAAATCTGAAACTGAACATACCAAGAAAGGTCTGGAAACATACATTTGCAGCAACAGCACCTCAAAACAGAACTTACGCTATGGGTGGGTCAGATCGTGAAGGTGTGTTTGTTGTGATAGTCAGGCTGGACCCTGAATTGGGGTCTAAAGTGGGTGTGAGTCCAGCATTGGTCAGGCTTGAGGCTGTTAGGTGGGCAAGGGGTTGGCATCGAGTCAAGTGGGTCTGAGAGGCATGTCAGGGGGCCAGGGGATGTGTCAGGTATCCAGGAGATGTCAGCAGGTGGGTGATGCCAAGGGGCAGGGTGGGTTGGGGTTGCGGTCAGCAGTGAGAAGAGGGGTTAGTTTAATAGTTAACCAGGAGTTCGAGTAGGCTTTTAATCCTGCGAGTAACTATTAACCTTCAATGAACCAAAATCCTCTGAAGTTTCTGACTTTAATGGGCTTTCATGGAGACTTTCAGATGCAGGGCAACTGGCCATCAGCAGTGTTCATTTCGCCGACAATCCCCATGGAGTCGACTGTCTCCGGGAATCGGGAACCTTTTGCATGCTACAGCAGAAACAGATCTCTGTATCTCACACACTCATCTCCATCTCACTTATCTTGCTCACTTCTCCAGAAGCTGGGGGGTGCTTCCACTGAGCACAAGGCTGTAAAATAGAAGGAGCAAGTTTGTGATTTCTCTGTCGGAGTGAAGTGTTTTTAGGGCTAATTAAAGGTGCAAGATAACTCTTCGGTTCAAAGCATTGAAAGGAACTTGCATGAGATTGCAATGGTTCATTGACTGTCTGCACTCTGTGCCATCATGAAGTTTTATCAGTGTGCCCATTTAACTTAACTGTTTCTATTTACGCTGTGGTACTCACAATCGGATCTCAGGAGCCGGCTATAATGGGTTTCAATTAAAAGAGCCACGAGAGAGTTTGTGTGCCAACTTTCATGGCAAATTGAACTTCATTCCTGATTGCTTAATCAAACCTTTCCTCATCAGTTCTAGCCCCAGGATGTTTGAGATCCCTATTAATCAAATGATGCTCTTCATTAATTTTCCAGACAGTATAAAGCAATAAGAGAGGCAGCAATCAACGTAATGTTACATTGGGCATTCATAAGGCACTTGACTGTTTAATATGCAGATCCTGGAATCCGAGAAGTGCACTTCTCTGACCCCAGGTCCCTCTTTCCCGTTCTCACTAACCTACGTTTGTTTTTATTCATTTGTGGGATGCGGCCATCACCATCTAGATCACAATTTATTGCCTATTCCTAATTGCCCAGAAGGCAATTAAGAGTCACCCACATTGCTGGAGTCACATGTAGACGAGGCCAAGTGATGACAGCAGATTTTCTTCTCTAAAAGAAGATCAGTGAACCAGATGGGGTTTTTTTAAGTGACAAATGACAGTGGTTACACAGTCACCATTGGATCAGCTTTATAATTCCAGACTTTTATTGAATTCAAATTTATCTGTCTGTCACGGTGGAATTCAAATCCGTATCCCTAAAACACTCGCCTGGGTTTCTGGATTATTAGTCCAGTAACATTACTACTACATTTCAAATTCCCATCATCTTTCAATTCTTTCAAGGCCTTATTCCTCTGCATCTTTGTACAAACTCTTGCCTCCCCACATTCTCCCAATTAACTCCATTTGCCTGCAGCCTTTTGCATGACTTCCCACCTCTCTACGCTCCACAGTTGATGGTTGGACCTTCAGTTGCTTAGGCCTTGAGCTCTGCAACTCCATTCCTGAAGCCCTCCTCCTTTTCATCCCGCGCTCTCTTCCTGAAGGATGGTCTATAAACCCTGCCTCTTCAGCTAAGCTTTTCATTTATTCCTGTCAAATCCTTCTCCATTGTCCCAGCTTTCATTTTCTAAGTTACTACATTACTGCTGCAGCTCTCGCTGCTCATCAAAATGTACATGGAGGGCCTATAAAAGCTGGTGGAAGCCAAGAAAAACATGGGCCTCTAACATTATTAGTGTGAGTTGTAGCTCAATTGGTAAGCATTTCTGACTGTGAATCACAAGGTTCCATATTTAAGAACCTCTTCAGATCTGAGTGCTAAACACAAGGTTGATACAAGTGCAGTTCTGAGGAGGTACTGAAGTAAATCCAAAACAATGCTGGAAATATTACATATTTACACACACATATTAATCAATTAAAACCATCTAACTGATTAAAGATTTAACAGCATCTTAGGTTTGTTTAATACATCCTCAACAGTTGTGTGACCCTTTGATCTTTTACTTATAAATTCTTTGTCTGATACCACCTCTCTCACTAACACCTGAAGAAGGAGTGAGGCTCCAAAAGCTTGTGTTTCCAAATAAACCCATTGGACTATAACTTGGTGTCGTGTGATTTCTGACCTTGTCCACGCCAGTC